AACCAAGGGCTGGGTCTGCAATCACCGGGACTGGGACACGTTTCCAGCTCGAGGAGTGGGTCCATTGGGACCTCATGAGGTTCAACAAAGCCAAGCACAAGGTCCTGCATCTGAGTGAGGGCAACTCCTGGTATCAGTCCAGGCTGGGGGATGAAGGGATTGAGAGCAGCCCTGCCAAGGAGGACTTTGAGTCCCTTCCAGTGTCTAAAGGGGCCCACAGGAAAGATGGGGAGGGAGTCTTTATCAGGAATTGTAGTGATAGGACAAGGGATAATGGTTTTAAATGCAAAAAGGTTAGATTCAATTAGTTATAAGGAAGAAAGCTTTTACAGTGAGTGTGGTAAAACACTGGCACAGGTTGCTCAAAGACATGATGGATGTCCCATCCATGGAAACATTCAAGGTCAGGTTGGATGGGGCTTTGAGTAACCTGATCTAGTTGAAGATGTCTTTGCCTATTTGGAATAAATTACCTTTAAAAGTCCCCTCCAACCCAAACCACTCTGTGATTTCCTCGTGGAGGCACAATCTTGTTATGATGCCATTTATTTAGGACAACGTGTCCTCAACAAGGCTCTTGCAGTTTGTCCCCTAGAGATTTGTCCCTTTGGGCTGAGCTGGGGCTAAGTAAGGCTGCAACACTCTTTGTTGCACCCTGAAGAAATGCACAACCAGAAGAGCTGGAGAGCCTGAAACCTCCAATGTCTGGTTGTCGTGAGGACGCTCACGACTGATTTAATAGCGTGAGACTCGAAGTGAACTGATTTATTTTAAGCTCACTGAGACCAAGTTTGCCTGGCTAATGCATCCTGACTTTTAGATTGAAGACTTAAATATCATGAGACTTTGGACAGATTCTTTGGAGGACACACGGCTTGGGGGAGGAAACCAGATTCAAAAATAATACCTGGAATTGTTTCAATAGTGCTATATCTGATCTTACCAGGACCAAGGGAGCAGCCAAAGTATGGCCATCTGTTTCCGCTCCCCCCTGCCCTCCTGGCTCACTTCAAACCACCCACCCCCCCCGGCAGAAAAGGCATTGAGCATCCCGCAGAGGAAGGACAATTCAATAAACCTAAACCCAAAAAGGAACACTTCATTTTAGCAGAGGAAGCTGTAGTGATGTGACTCACTCGGTGGCTTTTGAGGCTCTCCCCCACCTTCCAGCACTGTCACTTAGAGGTTATTTTTGCGTTTGCCCTCTGACAGCCGTGCAGCCCTCGAGCCATGTGGCTCTGCAAAACGTGAGGGTGGTTAAAGGCATCTTTGGGGTTGCTGCCTGCTGGGCTGAGCACACTCAGGCAGGGATTGGGATGCACACAGGTTGGGATGCACGGGATGCACACAGGTTGGGATGCACGGGAGCCATCAGGGATCGGGCACCTCCAGTCCCTCATCTCTGGGACAAAGCATATGGCAGACAGGCAGAGTTTTGGCTTTGCTTCTCCCTGCTCCTGACCCGCCAGATCCCCTGCCAGGGACATGCCTGGCCAGCCCTGTCCCTCCAGACGGGACACTGGGAGAGGGATCACGCTTGTCAGACTCGGTTGCTTCCCCCACTGCTCGTGGGAAACCTGTCCCACCTCCCATCCTGGCCATCCTTTGCTGGTCTGGGTAATGTTTTCTTATTGTGGTTTGGTCACAGAGTCCTTCCTTTGTTCAATTTGGCCACTGCTTAAGGAAGCCTCCAGAGAAAGCCTTGATAGGAGCATTGTAGCCCTGGAGGTGAAGGTGGCCACTGTGGCCATGCTGGAGGCAGCTCATGTGGCAAATATTCAGTGGAGATTGATCTTACACCAGCTCAAGGGCTTTGGCAGCCCCAGTGGCTGCTGCACACAGAGAAAGGAAGGTGCACAGCAAGAGCCAGGGCAGCTCTGTGACACAGACTCCTCTCAGACAGAGCCACTCTGAGCAGCAAGGCGGGTTTATCAGGGAATTTTCTGCTGCCATCCCAAGCCAATTCTCCACCTGAGCCCACTAAGACATTGCACTGCTGCACCCTCCTTCAGACAAGTGCTGAAATAGGACCTCAGGGATGGTCTTTTCAGGACTGCCCTATTAAGCCATCTGTATGGCCACATTGGCAGGAGGACCATACTGCAACACAATATGTTGCCTCAGCGCAGGAAACACACTCACAGAGCCCCCAGCACTTCAGCTGAGGGGGATTTTTCTGCCTTTTCCATCAGCCACTGCTGTAAAGCTGCGCTGAGAGGCAGCTCCATCCCCCAGCAGGAAGCTGTGTCTCATTAGCAGAGGTAAACAATTCCTCTGAACGTGACGAGTCAGGAGAGCATATTAAATATGTCACTATCTCAGGGTTTCTTAATCCCTCCTCCAGAACAGCGTGTTGAGGCAGGAGAGGACCCCCCAGCGTGGCTCAGAGTTCCACCACACCCCAGCTGGCATTCCCCCCTCTTTGGGGGGATAGTGGGGAGCACCGGGCAGGTGCCCTCACCCTTCAGCCTCCCCCACCCAAGCAAGCCTGAGCACTCCATTGATTTCCCTTGCTCAGTTGTCACAGCTGAGAATAAAACAATGATAAAACCTATCCAGCCACTTGCCTTTAAAACATCAACCAACACATCTATTCAGTACCAGAATCACAGAATCAACTTTCATGCTCTGGGGTGGGCACCACACTGAAGCTCAGCAGCCCTGGCTCCAGCCCTTCCTCCTGGCACACACAGAGGAGGCAAAAGCCACACACTGCTCAAGTTCAGGCTGTAACAGGAGGAACAAACCCCAGCACTGCGCTCGCAGCTTTTCCATCAGGCAGGTGCGTGTCAGAGCAAGACAGTGCTGAAAACAGTTTGAGTGTTGACCTGTTTTCTGATCTGCTTTCCCTGGCAGCCTCGTGCACACACACACACAACGTGTGCTGTGTTTACAGGAGTCCCCTTGTCTCCCCAAGGCTGTCGCTGTCTCCCCTGCAGACGATCCTGGTGCTCACGTGCAGATCAGTTCCTCGCTGTTTTGTTTTATCCCCCGTGCCGACGGAGCAGCCTCCTGCCTTATTTACAGTGCATTACTCACACGCTGCTCTGAACACGGAATTATTTATGCCCTCCTGAGCTTTTCAGGGCTCCTGGGTGCCGTGGCCTCCGCTCTCTTTGCAAAGCTCAGCGCGTGGCTCCGAGCTGTGGGGAGGCACCCAAGGCCCATTTTACAGACACAGAATGGAGAAGCTCTGAGTAGTTCCCAAGACCTTTGGTTGCCCAGCTGGCAGTGGCAAAGCACAGATTTTCCAAAGCACCTTGTGTTACACAGAGGTTTCCACGTTCAAAGCACAGCCCCAAAGCTCCCCTTTGCACCCCATTTGTACAAGCCAGCTCCTCTCCTCTGCTTTGCCTGGGGTATACACAGGGCACCCTAAAAGCAGGTCACAAGCATTCAGACTCCAGCAGTTTCCCAGATCAAAGCAAGCCACGGTGCAGGGTCAGTCCCCAGTGCCACGGACACAGGAGCAGCCTCTTCCCACTCCTGCAGCAGGGCTCTCCGAGTCCAGGGACACAACCAGCCTGCAGAGATCCCAGCCCTGCATCTCATTTTTCAGAGACCCCAGCTACCAACACGAGCTCCCTGCACCCCAGCACAGCCCTAGCACTGCAGGAGGTCTCCAGAGATGGGTGGGAACACACTGATCCCCCCAAACAGCACCTTCCCATGGCCCAGCCACACACAAGGCACCCACAAACCAAACCACAGCACCCGGCTCGGTCTTACCTTGTAAATCCACTGTGCTTGGGAGGGACAGACCTCACACCCCAGCAGGCTCCTCACCTCCAGCCAGAAGCTCTGAGCAGCTCCAGCTGCTTTATCACCTCCTCCTCCTCTGCCAGGTGCCTCTGCCTCCCTGACAAGGGTCCCACTGCAGCAGAGCCTGCTGTTGTACCAATGCCTCTCCCTCTCCAACCCTTTGGATTTTGAGTCTGAGAGGGAGGTAAAGTGACAGCAAAGAGATGCTTCATATGCAAAAAAGATTTGCATTGTGTTGCAGAGTTGATCTGTGGTCTGTACCCACTATAACACAGACCTTCATTATCCCCAAGGAAGGTCTGACCCACCTGCTCACTCCTGGAGGCAGAAGCTGCAGGGCAAGTAATGTTGGGCTTTAACACACATATGGATGAGGAATAAACCCATTGGCACAGCTAATAACCCTGATGCCCAAGTCCAAAGCTTCAACCTTCACACTATGTCCTGGTGCAGCTCAGCACATGGATGGGTACATGTGTCCCTGCAGAACACTCCAGCTTGGCCGTGCACTGTCATTTGTGGGCAAAATGGGGTGACTGTTCCTTTTCTCCCATTGCCAGGCCTGCAGGTGATGGACATTTTCACCTGGATGGGATGAGCCATCCTTCCCTCCATGGTCCCTGCAGGCAGGAGAGGACCGTGGCACTGGGAGCACAAATCTCTGCTCTCCCTGCTACTCCTCAGTCCTATCCCATCTTGGAGATGGAGAAATTTATCTTCCCTCCTCTAGCCATGCTCGGTGGTACAGGGGGGATGGTGTGTCCCCAGGATTTTTGGCATCAGGAGCCATGAGAGACAGGGATGTGTTTGGGGGATTTTAGCCGTGCAGTTCTTCCAAGGCAGAGCAAAGCTTTCTGTAGGCTTGTAAATTGGCCAAGCTTAACCGAAGTTTCCCAGAGACCATCTCAGGGAAGGCACTTTCTATGAAAATTGCCCCTGTGCCAAATTGAAAAGCCCTTTCCCAGAGGGCCTTTCAAAGGAAACAGCTCAGCCGTTCTTACAGTGGAGGCAAAGCCGCATCTTTCTGCCTTAAATTCATTCTCAGAAACAGCTTCCTCCAGAGCCAGGCCCGTGGCACACTCCAGTCCAGTCCAGCAGTTAATGTTTGACACAAGCAGCCAGATCCAGGGCCTGGTAATGGTGTGAGCTTGGCTGTGATGCCCACACAATGCCCACACGGTGCCCACACGATGCCCAGGCTTTGCCTTCTTCCCCGGTGACCGTTGTTGTTGTTCCAGGAGAACCCGTACCTGTGCAGCGACGAGTGCGACGCCTCCAACCCGGACCTGGCCCACCCGCCCAAACTCATGTTCGACAGCGAGGACGAGGGGCTGGCCACGTACTGGCAGAGCGTGACGTGGCGCCGGTACCCGGAGCCGCTGCTGGCCAACATCACCCTGTCCTGGAACAAGAGCATCGAGCTGACGGACGACATCGTGATCACCTTCGAGTACGGGCGCCCCACCATCATGATGCTGGAGAAGTCGCTGGACAACGGGAGGACTTGGCACCCGTACCAGTATTACGCAGATGACTGCATGGAGGCCTTCAGCATGCCAGCACGGAGGGTCCGAGACCTCTCCACCACCAGTGCCAACAGGGTCCTCTGCACGGAGGAGTATTCCCGCTGGGCGGGCTCCAAGAAAGAGAAGACCGTCCGGTTCGAGGTCAGGGACCGCTTTGCCATCTTTGCTGGCCCCGACCTCAAGAACATGGACAACTTGTACACCCGGCTGGAGAGCGCCAAAGGACTCAAGGACTTCTTTACCGTGACTGACCTGCGGATGAGGCTGCTGAGACCCGCCCTGGGGGGCACCTACGTGCAGAGGGAGAACTTGTACAAGTACTTCTATGCCGTCTCCAACATTGAAGTCACCGGCAGGTAACGGCTGCTGTATTTCTTTGGGCATCTCTTCTCTGAGGGATGAGAAGTTACTGCTGGTAAACTAAGCCATCAGCATTTCTGCAAAGAGTGTTTCTCCCTCTGACGCCCCTTCTCCCCAGGCAGGGCAGCACTGGAAATAAAACAGATGTGTCCTTGCAGGGAACGGCTGGGGCACCTCCAAGGCTGTGTCTGAGAGAGGGGCTGTGTCCTCCTGCAGCCGGTGCTGGGGGAAGTGGGACATGGCTTAGGTGGACAGTCAGGGTCTGAATTCCCTCCCAATACCCTGTCCCCAGCTGTGCAAACACAGCCAGCAGTCCCAGGGGTGATGCTGATGCATCTGGGGGATGAGGAATGATGCTCATCCCACTAAACTCCAGATCACTGCCAGTGCAAGCAGGATGGGTCATCCCAAGTCAGCCCAGCACCCCCTGAGCAGCCTCAGCTCCAGCAGAGGAAGTTTGGGGTGAGGGTAAACCCCCCAGACAGATCTGGGGCAGGGGAGGTGGGTGGGGGGTGTTTCTCCTGGGTTTTGTTTTTAATTTCTCTGTATAGTGCCATATGTTACGTTATGACATCAACTGAAAAAGCAAAGTAAGGTGGAAAAGTGCCGAGATGGCTGATTTCCCATCCAGCTTGTGCGAGACTTACAGGCGAGAGGGGAGAAATCTCCCCATCACCCTCCCCGTGCTAACAAGCATCACCACAGCGACAGAGGAGCCGTTTGTATCGGTTCCAAACTGTTTGCTACTAAGACTTGCAAGTGGAAATGTTTTGCAGGTGCCACTGAGGCTGGCTTTGAACAGGCTCCAAGGGGAAGGAAGCTGCAGTGAGGGATGGGAGAGCCCCTTCCACCCACCAGGGCAGGCAGGAGGCAGCGGTGAGGGTCTTTCTCACAGTGTGGTCGCCTGTCTGGGACGAGCAGCTGTGGCTCTCAGCTGGACTGGTGGCATGTTGGGGTGCCCACCATTGGGATTGCTCAGGGAGAAGCCCTGAGGGGCTCAGGCACATGGGCAGAGGAGTGGCAGAGCCCAGGTTTCAGTGCAAGGTGCTTCTGTGTAGATATGTACTGCCCATAAGAAGCATTGCCAGGTGTACTAAATATCCACAGTCCAAAACCAGCTCAGGATGCAGCAAAATAGCAAAGTAAGGAGGGTGGAAGGGAAGAAAAGCAGGCAAAGGCAAGGAAAAGGGCAAGTGCCTTGCCATCACCTCCAACCCAGCGACAGCCAGTCCTGTCCCCTGCTCCTTCTTTTGTGGCCTTGCTCCTCCCCAGGTGGCCCAGTTGCCCACAGGGACACTTGGTGTTACTGACAGCAGTGGCAAAACCACAGGGATCAAACCCCAGCCAAAGCCCACACTGACCAGAGCATCTGGCAGGAAGGGTTGGAGCTGGTGTATCAACTTGCCCGGGCTGGTTAGACTCTGTAACAGGGACACAGAGTTTTCAGCCTAGAAAGTGGTAAATTAGGACTAGAGGTTTGATGTCAGTGCTTGTGCAATGACCTTTGGCTTCCAAGCACCAACATAACTGCAGATAACCAAGGACTTGTTGCTGCTCCTGCAGCAGCTGCAGGATACTTCATGCTTCAAAGAGGTAAAGTACTCTCGGTGTCCTGTGAACGTGATCCTCCTCCTCCTCCCTCTACCTTCCCTGCCTGGCTTGGGCAGCACTTGTTGCTCCAGTACTTTGGATTTCAGGCCATGCTGACAGGATTCTCCCCAAACCAGCACCTTGCTGTTGGCTGCCCTCCTTCCCCCCCACCCAATCCCTCACCAGCTTTTGAGCTCACCAGCCAAGTTTAACACCGTTTAATAGTAGCAGCCATCAGTTCAAGAGGTTAAAATCCAAAAAAATTCTGCGAAAAGAACTCAGGCAGGGGGAGGGAAACCCTTTCAAACACCATGGCTGGGGTGGGTAGGGAGGGGGGGGGCGTGTCACAACCTCTCTGAGGGGGGCGTGTCACAACCTCTCTGAGACATCCAAGATTCCACAGCCACCTGCACCCCAAGGACAGGGCTGGCAAGGGAGGGCCGGGCTGTGAACGCCCGGTGGAAGCTGCAATGCTGCTTTTTAGCTGGGGCCAGGATGAGACAGGTTGGGGTTTGTTGGCTGGTTCCTGGCAGCCTCCCCCCGGCGCTGGCTCTGTGCCGGTGTGGCCGGCTGCCCACGGCTGCTGCAGAGCAGCGGCTCCCGCTCGCCTCCACTTCCCTCTTGGCTCCACTCACCACGAGCTGCCTGACCCACTCCTCTCATGCAGCAGGGCCTCTGGGAGGACAGGGCTTTTCCTTGGCTGGGAACACAGAAAACTATGAAATCTGGTTTTCTTCAGCCCAAACTCCCAAGTCTTGAGCTGCAGCAGGACCCAGCTTTGCACTGCTCCGGCTCTCCCAGCTTGCTGGGATGGTTCCCGGGAGAGGGGGACACAGCTTGGACAGGGAAAAGGTCGATGCCTGTCCTGTGCTGACTCTTCCAGCCCCGGTGGGCACAGGACAGAAAAAGGTGACCAGCTGAGGAACTGTGGATAAGTGGTGTATAAGATGGAGAAGCCTCATGTGAATTAACTCTGCTCCTGTGATTATTCCAGTCCCAGCAAGCAGGTTTCTCACTGAAAAGCAATCTAATTCCAGCTGTAAGCAAAGCCAGTTACAGTGCAGGGACTAAAACCAAATTAAATCTTGTGTATGGCTCAACAAGGGATGGGTTATTGAGAGGAAGAGAGGAGAAATCAATGTGAGCCTGACAGGAGCCCTGTGCAGGGAAGGGGGGAGGAAGGGTAGGCAGGGATGGGGATGGACACACACTGCCACTTCCAGCATGTGGGAACGACTGTGTTTGAGGAACAGAAGGATAAAATTGGAGTGGTGTTAGGGATCCACTGCAGGGGGCATGGAAACAAGAGGGAAGATGATTATGAAAAAATGAGGGCTTAGAGGTAAAAAGCAGCCAGAAAATTCCACCTGGAGAGCAGAGGTGTGAGCAGCCCTGGGAGGCTGGAGGAGCTGTGCCCAGCCATGGTGTGTGGCATTGGAGGAGCAGTGTGTGCTGTCAGAGCATGGCATTGCCTCTGTCCCTGCACAGCACCGGGATTTTGGCAGCAGCTGGCAGTGCCCACGGGGTGATGAGACACTTGGCAGCTCGTTTCTAGTTGATGTTCACAGTCAAGGGAAGAGTAAAACACTTTGCCCTCAGAGCAGACCATGAGCCAGGGCAGTTTCTCCTGCTGCAGCCTTGGCAGGTGGGTTCACAGAGGTTTCTGTGATCCCATCACTCCATGTGCTCCTGGGCCCCCATCCAAGCCCACCCCTTCCTTCACACCTCAGCCTCCCACCACAAAAGACCCCTCACCACAGTCTCCCAGAACTTTGGGGAAAAGCAGAAAGAGATGGAGCAAAGGACACAGGGACAAGGGGGAGGAATTCTCTGCCTTCTCCCAAAAGCCAGATGGACTGGGGTGGTCAAGAGTTTGACAGAGGATCTGGTGACTCCAGGGGTCACTACTTCTTCCCTGGGAGCTGGTGCAATGGGCTGGTGCTTCAGGGTCTCCTCTGCATCTCCTCCTCCCACAGCCTCAGCTGGGTCCATTTCTCCGTTCATGGCTGACAGTTTATTTTTACTCTCTTTCTTCTTGGTATCTTTATCCTTTTCTTTTCTTTTTTTTTTCCTTTCTTCTACCATCCTGTCCCTATTGATCCGCGGAGTAACTGGAGACGCAGAAGAGTCAAGACAGGAATAGACGCGAGCGAGCCCTTGGCCTGTGTGCTGTGTGTGTGTGTGTGCCAGGCAGGGTGGGGAAGGGAAGCGGGAAGACTTTCCCCCACAGATCTCTACCCGTTGCTTGATTTTCTCCTCGGTGCAGCAACAAGCTCAGTCATCTCCTCAGGAACGGGTGAATGAGCTTTCCCCGGCTGCCGGGGCCGGCGCGATGAAAGCCGCTGCTCCTCTTTCCATTACACGCTGAGTCTCTTTGGAGTAATTTTTTCCCCTCCATAACGTCAGTCACCGCCGTGCTCAGCAGGCCAAGCTCCATCACGGAGACATTAATAAGCTGTAATTGAAGTTAATGTGCCATGGCCGGGACATGTGGATCCAGTTAGGAGAAATCACATTGAGCAGAAGCGAATCAATTTTAGGCTGATTTATATTAGGATTTCTCTCCTTTATCCTCCCCTACCCCAATGCGTGCACTGTCTGTCTGTCTGACCATCCTGCTGGTGATGAGCAGTCCCTGGAGGAAGGCAGGAGGAGGGAGTGTTCCTCATCCCTGAGCAGCTCCATGGAACAGTGCCTCCTCTCAGGCTGCACTTCCCCTGCAGTTGTACCTCAGTTCAATCCAGGGGTGTCAGAGCAAAGTGCATCCTGGCAGCACGTGGGCTGCTTTGCCCTGCTTGGACATTCCTCCTTCTGGCTCTGTTGAAGTTGTTGGAGACCCTCCAGCTGATCTTGGCTTCTCCAGCAAAGCTGTCTCTAGAAAGGAGAAAAGAAGCAGGTTTGGTCCATGGAACAGTCTCTTGTTGAGGGTCTTGGATTTTGTGTGGTGGCTGATGTCCCCACTGAGCATCTCTCCCTGGGGAGCAGGGTGGGATCTGCACTGCTACTGCTTTGCCAAAGGGGAACAGGCAGGACCTGGGGTGATCTGTGAGAGCATGGGCTTACCCAGCTGAGCTTTCCCAGCCACAGTGCTGGAGCATCACCCCCAAAATAGCCACAGGCTCACCCAAAAAATTCGCAAGAACTTGCCCAGTGCCCCTGCAGCCCTGAGCCAGCTGCCGCCCACACTCAGCAACTTTGGGAAGGCCACAAAAACCAGGGCAAGCACTGCCTGTGCCTGTCCCTGCTCCTTCCCCTGCAGCTCCTGGCAGACAGAATTCAGGTCCCAAGAGGTAGCAGCATCCTCGTGTCAAGGACGGCCAAGTCTGTGCCAATGGTGCGCCGTGTTCCTCGGCCCGTCCTCGCCTCCACGCTGGGCAGCCCCTGGGAGCTGGATGGCTGAATTTCC